GACAATGGTTCTTAGAACCAGAAAGAAAACCTCAACCATTCTTTTTAATGTCTGGTGTGGCCAGTGATTGATAAAAGATTTCTATTTGGAATAATTTTATCCTCTGCTGTTGTTTAAAATGTGTAAGTTATGTTTTGACTGATAAATGTTAATCATGACACAGAGTATGTGGCGATCACCTCAAGAATTTTGATTTCTTTTGTCACACACATTTGTCTTTTTGTTCCTGAAATATCTCTAAATGGGATTCACGCTGGGTAACATTCTGTTTGACATGTATTTTTTGTAATACAACTGAGTTTTACTCCGGATTTACTGTTGTTAAGTAGTTGTGATGCTTATGGTAGACAAGGTATTTTGTCTTCTGCCTGTTTTTATGTATCCTTTCTTATCACCATCTCTTTACCAAGAGATACCTGTTGTGATATTCATGTATTTGAACACTGAAGTTGTGTTTTCTTTCGATGTCAACTGTGGTTACTTTTACCCCTCACCTTTTTTTTCATCAAAAATGTCATTTTAAATTAGCGAATACCATCATGGTATTGTATGGTTGCTTTTTGCAATTTTTATGCTTATGTAACTTTTTATCATCCTTAAAATATTGGATGATGCTTTTATGTATTGTATCTTTAGAACTGTATTATGATTTGAATTGTACAAACTGCTGCAGCTGAGTTATGCTTGGAAGATGTGACACTTATTGTGTTAAAAATACATTAAAGTATTTGAAACTACTTCCAAGGCTTCCTTGACTATATTTGTGATCCTGAGTCAGCAGCTTGGACCTGTTGGGCACTGTGCGCTCCTGCTCTTTGCCAAAGTCACTGAGGATCTTCTTTTCCAACGATTTGAGGTTTGGTGGTGTATTCAGAAATGTCCTGTTCTATCAAAATAAGCCTCCAATGAAATTATTTTTTCACTTTTCATTTTCATAAAATGTTTCAATCTCTATCTATCTATCTATCTATCTATCTATCTATCTATCTATCTATCTATCTATCTATCTATCTATCTCTGCATCTATCTATCTCTGTATCTATCTATCTATCTATCTATCTATCTCTGTATCTATCTATCTATCTATCTATCTATCTATCTATATCTATCTATCATCCATGTCTATCCTATCTATCCTATCTATCCATCTCTCCTATCTATCTCTCCTTTCTATCTCCTATCTACCATCTATCTATCTATCTATCTATCTATCTATCTATCTATCTATCTATCTATCTATCTATCTATCTATCCATCTATCCATCTATCTATTCGTCTCTCCTATCTATCCATCTATATCTATTTCCTATCTATCCTTTCTATCTCCTATCTACCATCTATCTATCTATCTATCTATCTATCTATCTATCTATCTATCTATCTATCTATCTATCTATCTATCTATCTATCTATCTATCTATCTCTGCATGTATCTATCTCTGTATCTATCTCTGTATCTGTCTGTCTGTCTGTCTGTCTGTCTGTCTGTCTGTCTGTCTGTCTATCTATCTATCTATCTATCTATCCATCTTTCCATCTGTCTATCCGTCTATCCATCCGTCCATCCATCCATCTATCTATAACATCTATTTTATCTAATCTAAACTATCAATTATCCTTTTCTGCCCTACCTTGGAAAAAAATGCCATGGACTTTCCTGGCCACAGGAGGGCAGCATTCCCTGTTTTGCCATCCTCAGTGCCCTATTAGAAATGAAATTTTAGCTCCTGGAACTAACTTTTATATTCCCAACAGCCCCTTTTGTGGCTGCTTTGAGCTTTCAGCAAAGTAAAGAAATGAAAGAATTAAAATAAGCCACTCCAGGACTTATTTTGCAAATGTTCCTACACTAGTTGAACTTCTTCCTCCAGATTTACTAGCCCACTCCATAGTCAAAGTTTTGGGGGAGTTTCAAGGGGCTACATAAAAAAAATCATTTTATTATTTATAAGATTAACACATAAAACATTTATTAATGAGATGATTTTGCCAAGGATGTGATCAGGATTTGAACTCAGAACCACATAAAGCAGGAGCCACCTTGGAAGACGATATAATAAAATGTTGATTAATAAAAGACTGATCGGATTCCTTTGCTGGAGCCTAGCCTTCCACACGAGATAGTAGCCAGTTCAATGCACCATGTAAACCCCCAAACACGTGTGAATCAGTCACAAAGAGAGGAGGCTCGTGTGAATCCGACCTCTGGCTTTTCGGGTTCATGAAAAAGCTAAGAAAAAGGGACGAAAAAGAAGTGCCATGCACCACTTTTCGTTCGCCACGAGATGGCAGCATTGCTCCATGGTTGGGAAAGGAAGGCGGAAAACACCCGTTTAAAGTAAAAAAATTAATTCAGGGGTCTTCCAACTTGGCCCTTTTATGACTTGTGAACTTCAACTCCCAGAATTCCTCAGCCAGCAGCATGCCTGGCTGAGGAATTCTGGGAGTTGAAGTTCACAAGTCATAAAAGGGCCAAGTTGGAAGACCCCTGAATTAAATAAAAGTTTAAACTGATTAAAAGAATATTACACACTTGTACAAAATAATCTTTTATTTGTTGCAACACACAAATGTCCTGATGCGATTGCATTGAATTCAGGGGGAAGATGGACTTCGTGAGAATCAAAATAGGCATGCGCAGATAGGAAAGGACAAAGGGGCGGAGCCAGCCCGGAAATGGGCGGGTGTAACATACACACAAAAAAATAATGGACAGGAAGATCTGGAGGAACGTTGTCCATGGGGTCGCGATGGGTCGGACACGACTTCGCAATTAACAACAACAACACATAAGAAAAAAATATTTTTTAAAAAAGTCGAGGAGCTCCATCCGCGGTCGTTCTTGCTCCGCCCACTCGCTTAGTCCCTCCCCTTCGGCTTGCATTCAATAGGGAATTCCTTCCCTAGTTGAATTTCTGCCTGCAAGTTCACTAGCCCACTCCTTAGTCAAGGTTTGGGGGGGAGGTGCTGTCCCAGGGCATATTTTAAAAAGTCATTTTATTATTCATAAACTTAACACATAAAGTGTTTATTTTATCACGTGATCCTGCCAAGAACGTGAGCAGGATTCGAACTCAGAGCCACGTAAAGCAGGGGCCCTGGTGAGAAGAAATAACAAAATATCTATTAATAAAAGAATAATAAAATACCTTTGCTGGACCCTAGCTTTCCGCATGGGTTAGTAGCCAGTTCGATGCACCATGCAAAACCCAAACACGTATGAATCAGTCACAAAGCGAGGAGGCTCGTGTGAATCCGACCTCTGGGGTTTTAAATTCATGAAAAAAGCTAAGAAAAAGAAACGAAAAATAAAGGCAGTGCACCACTTTTCTTTGGCCACGAGATGGCAGCATTGCTCCACGGTTGGGAAAGGAAGGCCGAAAACACGCGTTCCCCTTTAAAAGGAGAATAAAATAAAAGTTTTAACTGAGTAAAAGAATATTACACAGTTGTGAAAAATGCTCTTTTCTTGATTGCACCTCAGGGAGGTAAACGGCATTAGAATCAAAACAAGCATGCGCAGATAGGAGAGGACAAAGGGGAGGAGCTACACCCCCGAGATGGGCGGGTGTAACATATATAAAAAAATTATCTTTTAAAAAAAGGCGAGGAGCTCCATCCGCGGTCGTTCTGGCTCCGCCCACTCGCTTAGTCACTCCCCTTCGGCTTGCATTCAATAGGGAATTCCTTCCCTAGTTGAATTTCTGCCTGCAAGTTCACTAGCCCACTCCCTGGTCAAACTTTGGGGGGGGGGTGCTGTCCCAGGGCATATTTTAAAAAGTTATTTTATTATTCATAACGTTAACACATAAAACGTTTATTTTATAATCAGCTGAACTTGCCAAGGACGTGAGCAGGATTCAAACTCAGAGCCAGGTAAAGCAGGGGCCCTGGTGAGAAGAAATAACAAAATATTAATAAAAGAATAACAAAATTCCTTTCCTGGACCCTAGCCTTCCACATGGGATAGTAGCCAGTTCAGTGCACCGTGCAAGCCCCCCCCAAACACGTGTGAATCAGTCACTAGGCAGGGAGGCTCGTGTGAATCCGACCTCTGGCCTTTCGGGTTCATGAAAAAGCTAATAAAAAGGAACGAAAAAGAAGTGCCCTGCACCACTTTTCTTTGGCCACGAGATGGCAGCATTGCTCCACGGTTGGGAAAGGAAGGCCGAAAACACGCGAAGCCTTTAAAAAGAGAATAAAATAAATAAAAGTTTTAACTCATTAGGGCCAAGCTAGGCATTTGAAAGAATATCACACACTTGTGCAAAATGATCTACTTGTTGCAACCCACAAATGCCTTCATGCGATTGCGTTGAATTCAGCGGGAGATTCCTTTGCGAATCAAAACAGGCATGCGCAGATAGGAGAGGACAAAGGGGAGGAGCCCATTTAAATGACCAACGTGGCCGGTGATTAATCATAGATTGTATAGTTTTCTGCCTGGCATAATTTTAGCCATGGCGATGGTTCTTAGAAGCAGAAAGGAAACCTCTCAGTGGACCTTTTTAATTCTAAGTGTGGCCATTGATGGATAATAGATATTATACCTTTGTATAAAGCGATCTTGATGCTATCCCTCTGTTGATGTAGCCCAGGATTGCATTGGCTTTTTTTGGCAGCTGAAGCTCATACTTAAATGGTGGCCCATTAGGACACCTAGATCTCTCTCACAGCAACACAGACCAGTGTCTGCACTACATTGTGAGTAAACGTTTTTGGGGGGAGGGGGTGGCAGCAGACCAGGGCAAGGTGAGAGATGACAATTTCAGGGATCTTAAGAAAGTAAGGCCCAGACCTGACAGCTTGCTCCAAAGCTGTCAAGTTGCCTTTTTTCCTCTGTAGGTATTGTGTCTAAAGGGTTCCCAAAATCTCTATCCCGATGATGAGATGTGGGTGCAGCAAGAAAAGGAAGCGCCCAGATGCCACACCTCCCGACCACACAGTCCCTCCTCTAACAGAGCTCCCTCTGCTCAAAACACACATCCAGAAAAGAGAGCTGGGTCCTCACCCTTCTCTTTCTTTTATTGCACACAGACCTCCCTTTGCCCTGAGTAGCCAGAGAGAGGATTTTGAAGGGGAGGCAAGTTGAGTCCCGCAGAGGAGCTGAACAGCATTTCCCAAAAGCATCTCCAGAGCTGAAACCTAGAGAAGGCCAAAAGGGCCTGCAGGCCACAATCTTGGGGCTGAGTTTACCATGATGCAGACCTAACATGGCGCCCAGCCAAGGCAACTGCTAATCACTTGGGCTTGAGCAAACAGCTCTCTGCCAATTCTCCCCCTTCATCCAAGGACAACCCCAGAGAAGCCAGGAGAGCTGCTCATAACAAGTGTTTGTTGCGCTTCGGGATGATTCTGCGAACGGTCCTGCGTTCAGAGATGTTCCGCTTCACTCTGGCCCCGCCAACAGGAGGCCCATCCATGTTCAGGGATGGGCTGGAGTGGGACTTCTGCAAACTGGGGCAGTTCTCAACCACTGCTGTCAGCCGGGCTTCCCACTGGTCCAGATCATCTGTGCTGCAGCCAAGTTTCACCTCCAGGAGCTTCACGTATGTCTCATAGCGGCGTTTCTGCACAGGGCAAGAGGGGGTGAGAGCCAAGTAGCAGAATCTGGTTCCATGAGGGGAGGAGAGGAAGTCGTGGGCGATCCTTCGCTAGAAATGCTGAACTAGAACATTTCCAGCAAAGCTCTCCTTGCCTTGGACCCATTCTCGGATACTATTTTGGGCACAGATTTTCCCTTTCCCCTTCTGCTTTCATATCCCACAAATAGGGATGCAGTGAACATCTCTGTGATCTACAATTTGGTATCTAACAAGAGGTCGTACAGTGGAAGAGTGATATTCTGAAAGATAACAGCCACATAAACAGAAAAATGGCCAGGAACAAGTAGTACTGCAGAGCTATGGATCTGCCAACTCCTTCCCCAGAAAAATGACGCAGGCAATTCTCAACAGCGGGGGTGTTGGGGGGTGTCCCATTCAAACTCAATGAACCGTTACCTCCCACTGTAGGAAAGCAGTGCAAGGTGTCAGCAGAGGATGGCCTTCCCCAACAGAACAGAACAGCCCAGCCCAGCCACCCCCACCTCTCCTGGAAGAACAAACTTTGCTCACCTCAAAGAGCAAGTACTCCTTTCTGAGCTGGTACTCCTCCAGATCCCTCCCACGGCCACGCTTCTCTGGCAGATTCCGCTGGAGCTCCAGCAGTTCGTGGGACGTCCTGTCCATACAGGCTTCGTGGACCAGGTGCTGGTCTTCCTGCAGTGACAGAAAAAGATTGCAGCCTTGCCTCAAGCCAGGTGCCCCAGTTCTCTCCCCCACCTAGATCATCGGAGACATGGCTGCGCTGAGCTGTGCAACTGGAATTCCCGAGGACAGAGCCACACTTCCCCAAGGATCAGAGTTCGGGTCTGGCACCCCTTAGTGACTTCATCTAAACCACTCTGCGGAAGGACCTGAGATTCGACCATTCCATCCCCCAGCACTCAACTTACTATGCAATTCTTGCAGGGAGTAGTTGGCAAAATAGGTCTTATAAATTTCTTTTGGGAGCCCACTGCTGCAGGGAAGGGTGGGGCAGAGAACATGGCTGCCACAAGGTTGATGCGAGAAATCCATGAAATCATTTCTTCAGAAGTTCTAGAAAAGGTAGAATTGAATTTTTGAATTAGCCCAATTTTGGGGATTAACATAATAACTCAGCCACAAATAGGTAAACAATCTCTCCAAGATGTTTAAAATTAGCCCAAATCAATATTTTGTATGAATGCATCTGCTGGATCTTTAGCTATTCTGATTAAATATGTTACGTGAACACATCTCAATAATCAGGATCAATACACACTCCTGATTAGTTTGCCCAGGCTGCGCCCCGGCATCTCTCCTGTTCCACAATGCCTTTAAATTTTTCTGTTATTTTGTTTCAAAATACCTTTATTTTACACTTTTATAATTACTATTTTAGAACATTTTTGGTTTTATTATAATTTACATGATACAAAAACTCTCTTCTCTGTAACATTTAACTGGGCAAAATGGTGCATCATAGGAGAAAGGTAACTAACTTACAGAATGACGGGATCTATAACTCCTGAGGAATTAAATTTGGGAGTTGTGGCTGCTTCAGCACTGCCAGATTGCTGCTGCTGCGCTCCCATAATCCTCGTTTTCAATGTTCCATGACCATTTCCCAGCCATTCGGCAATCTGACCCTCCCTTCTCCAACTAGCAGCAGCCACTTGTCTTCAGGAAGGGAAGGGGGAAGAAAGAGGAGGGAGGGAGGGAGGGAAGGAAAGGAAGGAAGGAAGGAAGGAAGGAAGGGTTTCAATGTTCACTGCCAGCTTCCAATAAGGAAATTCAGTGGGGAAGCTGACAGGAAGCCAGAAGTTACTTCCAATCCCACTGATTTTTTGTCCATCTGTGATCATTCGGATTCTGTTCAGGTGAAGAAATCTCTCTGAAACGATGACATATGTTTCTGATTTACAATGTCCCTGACATCTTCCCACCAGTCAGTGGGGAAGCTTGGGAAGCTTCCAGGGTGAAAATCAATGGAGAATCTTGTGGGGAAGGTCACAAGCTACTCAGGTAAAATATCCCTAACCTGCGCGTTCTCCATCTGTCCCTCTGCACTCGCACTGCACCAGTCAGCCTTGACTCAATTGGACACGGACTGACTAGTCACTTTTCTAATTTTTCCCTCCCTCCTTCCCTCCACACTGTGTGTGTGTGTGTGTGTGTACAGATAGATGATAAATATAGATAGATGGATAGACAGACAGACAGACAGACAGCTGTAGACTCCTCTTAGAGAAAGACTGCGATAGGTAAAATGTGTGGCCTATAAATTTTATAAATAAATAAATAATAATACTTTAAAATTTGGTGGTGGAGAAGAATCCAAGACACATGCCCAGAGCCATACTAAGGAGTCCCCTAAGAAGACAAGAAATCTAGAAAAGGTCTCTCATTTCTTATTTATAAATTATTTCCACTACTTTTCTGCACTAGACATTTGGAATGATGGCAAGGGAAAGTTTCCTTAAGGCTTGTGGGAACTCACGGGGCTTGGAAGAGGAAGACGTGCCCATCTGCAGTCTGGAGCCGGAAGACATGTGGCCGCTTGGTGTATTTGCAGGCTTTCTCTGCCAGGGCATGAGGTATTCCAATGAGTTCTTCTGAGCCTGACACCTCCAAATGCTGCTCATCCTGCATGGCAGCCAAAAACAAAACAAAATCCAGCATCCATTCAGTCCTGGGAGGGATAGTTATATTAATGCTGCAAGAGGAGATGTTGGGGGGGGGGGAGGGGATGACATGCAGTTGTGAACAAGCACCAACCCCCCTCGACACCACCCACTTCCACGCTTGCCATTTTCCTCCAATTTACATCTACTGAGGCTAGTCCTGCCCTCTGCCTTCTCTATAACAGTCCTTTAGATCAATGTTTCTCAACCTTAGCAACTTTAAGATGTCTGGACTTCAACTCCCAGAAGTCCAGAAGTTGAAGTCCAGACATCTTAAAGTAGCCAAGCTTGAGAAACACTGTTTTAGATGATTTGGTCCTTCCATCATGCCTCCCCTTAATTATCTGTTCTAAACATATCCACTGTTTTCAACCAGTCATCTTAGAGCTTGGTTTTCTGCTTCTTCATCTTTGTGGAAAGACTCATCTGTCATTGTTCTTCTTGAAAGGTAGGAACCAAATGTGGTCTAACGCAGAATATAAATGGAAAAGGGAAAATCTACTTCAAGTTCAGCTTGACTCCTGGCGACTTCAGATCCATATCGTTTTCCTAGCAACAAACGGAAATGGTCTGTCTTTGCCTTTTTCCAGAATGTCTTTTTTCAATTGCCCCATCTAGCCTACCACCCTCTATTTTCTGGTATTTTCCATCTCTCATGCATGCACTAATCCTCCTTAGCTTTCTGAGATCAGAAAGCTGTGCAACACAAAATAAAGGAGAAAACTACTTCTTATGACTTAGATGCTACTTCTGTTAAAGGATGCAAATCAAAATTCGGCTAGCTTATATTCAATTTATATTCCACTAAAATATCTACATCTATTTACAGGACTTACTGAACATTCACCAGGCTTAGGTTCAGGCCAGAACCAACTTTATCCCCTCCAGAAGAGCCTCAAGGACCCTGAGGTCATCCCCAGTCATTTGGTACCCATCTCGCTTTATGAGAACTCTCAAACAAGTAGTCCTCGACTTACGATCACAATTGAGCCCAACATTTCTGTTGCTAAGTGAAACATTTGTTAAGTGAGTTTTGCCCCCATTTTACAACCTTTCTTGCCACAGTTGTTAAGTGAATCACTGCAGGTGTTAAGTTAGTAACACAGTTGTAAAAGTGAATCTGGCTTCCCCATTGACTTTGCTTCTCAAAAAGTCACAAAAGAGGATCATGTGACTTTGGGTCATAAGTATGAACCAGCTGCCAAGCATCTGAATTTTGATCCCATGATCATAGGGATGCTGTAAAGGTCATAACTGTGGAAAATAGTCATAAGTCACATTTTTCATTGCCATTGTAACGTTGAACGGTCACTAAATGAACGAGGACTACCTGTATACAGAAGCTTTAAGTAATATCCACTATCTATACCCATCTACGTATCTTTAACTACTTGGAACTACAAGTCCCTCTTTTTATCCTTTGTTGACTTGGAAAAGACAATCTTCCCGTTGCTTCAATTTTAACCAGCATTTCACCTTGTCTCTAAGCAGTGCGCCTGCTCCTCCTGCTGTTTCCCTCCAGCTCTCACTGTTTACTCTTGTACAGCCACAGAAACGCTATTTGTAGCATCCTCCTCCAGCCTTAGCTTCCCCTGGAGGCTTTCCTTGCATGCCAGAGAAGCTCTTCTGCTGTCTGTCTACAGCTCTTTTTGACATTCCCTGAGCCCCTTCACACAGAGCGCAGGCTTGGTAGGCTTGGTAGGCCTGAGGTGGCTTGTGGCAGCCACGCCTTGAGGGGATTCCCCCACGGGCTGCTTGTGAACCACTCCCCAGCACATACATTGGTGGCCTGATGTGGGACAGTCCTGGAGCAGAAGGCTCGTCTGCCTGCCCCCCCGTTACCTTGAGGAAGTACAGCACTGTCCCCTTCAGCACAGCATGGAAGGTCTTCCAGCCTCGCTTGCCCCAGGGAGCTGCAGGGAGGGAGGGAAGGGTGGTCAGTTGCTTTCCTCTCACTGGCTTGCCCTCCCCTTTCCTTCCTTCAGGTTGCAGCCAAGAGGGCTTGGCTGTTTGGATCTTGACCTTAGAGCGCCCTCGACCTGGTGCCAAGCGGTCGCAGGTCCGCAGGGGGGTAGGGGTGGGAGGGCAAGAGAGCAAGGCCCGAAGCCCCCAGAGGACTGCCCTGAGAGACTCTGCCAGCCCCTCTCTCGCCTCTGCTTGTCCAGGGCCGCAACTCGGCACTCACTTTTCTTGCCATCCGCCTCTGCGTGGACCTTTCGAGCAAGGAGACCCTGCCGGTATATTTTTGCCCCGGGGTCCTGCCACACAGTCAGAAAAGGGTTGGTTTTCCTTTGGGTGTTTGCAGGACTCAGGGGTATCTTTGCATCAATTGTCTCTTCCTCATCCCTGTGGGGGGCAGAAAACAGAAATTTGGCACACTTTTGCATATAAAAAAAACATGTGAAAGG